GTATGCTTCAAAATAGCTTACAAAGCTTTGACATTTAAAAAGCTTTTAAAGAAACAATTTTTAACTTAAGAGCCTTTAGAAAATATAAAAATTTTAAATAATCAAAAGCTTTTAGTTAAATATTTCTATAGTCTAGTCTATAGTCTAGTCTAGTCTATAGTCTAGTCTACAGTCTAGTCTATAGTCTAGTCTATAGTCTAGTCTATGGTCAAGTCTATAGTCTAGTCTATAGTCTAGTCTATAGTCTAGTCTATAGTCTAGTCTATAGTCTAGTTTAGTCTAGTCTATAGTCAAGTCTATAGTCTAGTCCATAGTCTAGTCTATAGTCTATAGTCTAGTCTATAGTCTAGTCTATAGTCTAGTCTATAGTCTAGTCTATAGTCTAGTCTATAGTCTAGTCTATAGTCTAGTCTATAGTCTAGTCTATAGTCTAGTCTATAATCTAGTCTACAGTCTAGTCTATAGTCTAGTCTATAGTCTAGTCTATAGTCTAGTCTATAGTCTAGTCTATAGTCTAGTCTAGTCTATAGTCTAGTCTATAGTCTAGTCTATAGTCTAGTCTAGTCTATAGTCTAGTCTATAGTCTAGTCTAGTCTAGTCTAGTCTATAGTCTAGTCTATAGTCTAGTCTATAGTCTAGTCTATAGTCTAGTCTATAGTCTAGTCTATAGTCTAGTCTATAGTCTAGTCTATAGTCTAGTCTATAGTCTAGTCTATAGTCTAGTCTATAGTCTAGTCTATAGTAGTCTATAGTCTAGTCTATAGTCTAGTCTATAGTCTAGTCTATGTGTCTAGTCTAAGTCTAGTCTATAGTCTAGTCTAGTCTAGTCTATAGTCTAGTCTATATCTAGTCTATAGTCTAGTCTATAGTCTAGTCTATAGTCTAGTCTATAGTCTAGTCTATAGTCTAGTCTATAGTCTAGTCTATAGTCTAGTCTATAGTCTAGTCTATAGTCTAGTCTATAGTCTAGTCTATAGTCTAGTCTATAGTCTAGTCTATAGTCTAGTCTATAGTCTAGTCTATAGTCTAGTCTATAGTCTAGTCTATAGTCTAGTCTATAGTCTAGTCTATAGTCTAGTCTATAGTCTAGTCTATAGTCTAGTCTAGTCTATAGTCTAGTCTATAGTCTAGTCTATAGTCTAGTCTATAGTCTAGTCTATAGTCTAGTCTATAGTCTAGTCTATAGTCTAGTCTATAGTCTAGTCTATAGTCTAGTCTATAGTCTAGTCTATAGTCTAGTCTATAGTCTAGTCTATAGTCTAGTCTATAGTCTAGTCTATAGTCTAGTCTATAGTCTAGTCTATAGTCTAGTCTATAGTCTAGTCTATAGTCTAGTCTATAGTCTAGTCTATAGTCTAGTCTATAGTCTAGTCTATAGTCTAGTCTATAGTCTAGTCTATAGTCTAGTCTATAGTCTAGTCTATAGTCTAGTCTATAGTCTAGTCTATAGTCTAGTCTATAGTCTAGTCTATAGTCTAGTCTATAGTCTAGTCTATAGTCTAGTCTATAGTCTAGTCTATAGTCTAGTCTATAGTCTAGTCTATAGTCTAGTCTATAGAGTCTATAGTTGTCTATAGTCTAGTCTATAGTCTAGTCTATAGTCTAGTCTATAGTCTAGTCTATAGTCTAGTCTATAGTCTAGTCGTCTAGTCTATAGTCTAGTCTATAGTCTAGTCTATAGTCTAGTCTATAGTCTAGTCTATAGTCTAGTCTATAGTCTAGTCTATAGTCTAGTCTATAGACTAATCTATAGTCTATAGTCTAGTCTATAGTCTAGTCTATAGTCTAGTCTATAGTTTAGTCTAAAGTCTAGTATATAGTCTTGTCATAAGAAATTGCTGTAAATTATCTAAACTCGGTGCTATTTGGTGTTTCACTACTGTAGTCATAACTTTAAGATTCAAATTTAAAATCTAGGCTATGTTTACAATTATTTTGCTTATTCTGTTTTTGGATTCTTTGTTTGAAATATTATAATTTTTTTTTTGGTTGTATGAAATAAAAAATTTTATAAAGAAGATGTTTACACTAGACATATGAAAACTTATTTTACACACACTCACAAATTGTTTATACTTTATTTGGAAAAATACTATGCATTTTAAGCAGCACAATTACTAAACAAATGTCCAAAAATAACACAACAACAAAAAATTTAATTAAACATTTTAGAAAAAAATAATCTTGTAATTTCCAGTGGCAATTTTGGAAGAAAGTATTTTTAGCATTTTGTTTTTGTTATTACAACTCTCATGTTTTCAAATAAAACGTACAAATATTTGAAATGTTTACATTGTAATGGCTAAATATAAAATTGTAGCAAAAGTAAGAAAAGCGGTTTGCAATATTGGCTCATGATGATGATGATAATGATGTCGATGATGACGATAATGAAGTCGATATTGATGTATGAGTATGATGATGAGTATACAAAATACGCAATTCCTAAATTCCCTGAAATTATGCATTTGGTTTGACTACTTGTTTGTTTTCTTTTCGGCATGAGAAGAAGGAAATTGTTTTCGTTAAAACATCAAAATGTTTCTTTTGATTTTTATATTGTGAGTTAATGACGCAAAGTTGCAAGAGTTTTTTTTTCATAATATTTTATATGCATTTGAAAAAATAGAAAACTCAAAGAAATATTAAGTGTTAAACATTATAATTAGTTTCGATTTGATGGATTTGAAATTTAGAAAAACACATGGCTTTTGAGTATGTCAATCATTGTTTTACAAATTGGGGAAAAAATCGAAATATACAAGTTAGAAATCTAAAAGACTTTCATATGAAAAAAAAAAAACACTTGAAAAAAATTTCTTTAAAATTTAGTTAAAAAAACAACGTTCAGAGAAGCTTTTAAATAAGATCCAAAGAACTTTTTCTAATAAAAATATTTTTTGCAATAAAATTTTTATACAAATTATATTTAATTTCAAACAGTATGTGTTAAAATAGCTTACAAAGCTTTGACATTTAAAAAGCTTTTAAAGAAACAAATTTTAACTTAAAAGCCTTTAGAAAATATAAAAATTTTAAATAATCAAAAGCTTTTAGTTAAAGATTTAAGTATACAAATCTTCAATTAAAAGTTTTTTTAAAGATTTCTATAAAAGTTTCACACATAAAAAGCTTTCATGTTTATTCTAAGATAAACTTCTTACCAAAAAACAAAAATAAAAGCTTAATAAAATTAAGAGCTTTTTTATTATATAAAGAAACTTTTACTCATATAAAATAAAGCATTATTACTAAAGCTTTTAATGAAATCATTTTAAATGAAAAGCTTTTACAAGAAATTATTTTAATTAAATACAAATATGTATAAATATAAAGGCTTTTAAAGAGCACTTATTAAAGTTTAGAGCTTTTAAAAGTTTTCGTAAAAGCTTTTAACAAATTATAACGTTGTATAATGGAAAATATTGTCTAATATAAAAGTTTTTAAATATAATATGAAATAGAACTAATGTCTTTTAAAAGCTTTCCAAGAAAACTTTCAAAATCTATAAGAATATAAAGGCTTTCAACAAAATATTGCCTACAAAGAAAGCTAATCGATATGAAAACTTTTATGAAAAAGTTTAATAATTACATACAAAAAAGCTTTTGTATCTTTTTTGAAGCTTAATCTATATGAAAGCTTTTGGAAAACACTTAAAAAACACGAAAGCTTTTAACCTAAACTTTTAAATAAAGTTTGCTTAAGACATACTTTTGTAGTTCAAAGAGAAACAAGATTTTCTATAAAAAGCTTTTCCATAAAGCTTTCAAAGTTTATAAGAATATAAAAGCTTTCAAAAAAACTTTAAGTGAAGCTTTTTAAATATGAGGAATTTCGATGAACGTTATATAAATATTTTTTAAAGCTTAATATATATGAAAGCTTTTAGAAAATACTTAAGAAATACCAAAGATTTTTGCCTAAGCTTTTAAATAAACTTTGCTTAAGACATACCTTTGTAGTTCAAAGATAAAATTAAATTTATTTTCTATAAAAAGCTTTTCCAGAAAATCGATATGAAAACTTTTATAAAAAGTTTAATAATTACATACAAAAAAGCTTTCTAATGGTAAGAGCTTTGTGAAGTAAAGCTTCGTAAATATGAAGAGTTTCGATGAACGTTATATAAATCTTTTTTGAAGCTTAATATATATGAAAGCTTTTAGAAAACACTTTAAAAATACGAAAGCTTTTAACCTAAACTTTAAAATAAAGTTTGCTTAAGACATACTTTTGTAGTTTAAAGGTAAAATTAAATTTATTTTCTATAAAAAGCTTTCCAAGAAAGTTTTCAAAGTTGATATGAATACAAAAGCTTTCAACAAAATATTGCCTACAACGAAAGCTAATCATTATAAAAACTTTTATAAGAAAGTTTAATAATTACAAAAAAGCTTTCAACAAACTATTGCCTATAAAGAAAGCGAATCATTATAAAAACTTTTATAAGAAATAATAACTTACAAAAAAGCTTTCTATAGAATATAAAAACTTTAAGTAAAGCTTTCTAAATATGAGAAGTTTCGATGAATGTTATATAAATCTTTTTTAAAGATTAATATATATATAAAAGCTTTTAGAAAATACTTAAGAAATGAGAAAGCTTTTAACCTAAACTTTTAAATAAATTTTCTTTAAGAAAATTAACTTAATTCTCTACAAAAAATCCCTTGCTTCATTTCCAATACAATTTGTTTTTGCAAATTTTAGTAAGAAACTATGACGCCTGCATGTGCGAGCCCATAAATTTTCCAAAATTTTTATTTGCAGTTGTAGGTGGTGGTGGTGGCATTTGAAACAAACAAAACAGAAACATAAAACATTTAAAATTATTAACAAATTGTGGGGTTAAATACTAAACAATTAAAGAAAAAGCCTCTCACAATTATAAATGAAAAGTTTTAGGGTTTTTGGAAAAGAAAAAACGTGGGCTGAAGTCAAGGTTTGCCAATTTAAATAAATAATTTTTTTCTCTCTTTTTATGGTATCATTTCAGCTTTGCACACAGATTACTAAGCGAACGGAAAATGCCAGCAATATTTAAAAGCAATATGTATAATAGAAGGAAAGGAACATAAGGAGAAAAAAGGGAAGCAAGCTGGAGAGCAAATAAGAGTCTTTAAGAAAAGCATAAACTAAAGGAATTTGAAGCTTAGAGTTAAAGAAACGAAATTTCAAAGAAATAACTAAAGGTTTCCTCAACAAACACCATTCCCTGGCAGAGATTTGTAAGAGATTTTTGGAATTTTCCCCTAAACACTAGCTTTAAACGACTGGATTTGTTGTTCGGAAGCCCATTTCATTTTGGGTGTTTGGTTAGTTAATTGTATTGAAACATTCCTCCACATAGTATGGCCTCGGTCGCCGCTTGGCTGCCATTCGCACGGGCGGCGGCCATTGGTTGGGTGCCCATAGCCACTCATCCCCTGCCACCGGCTCCCATACCCAAAGATAGACGCAAAACCGATGATGAGAAACTATTAATCAATGTCTCCGGGCGACGTTTTGAAACCTGGCGCAATACTCTCGAAAAATATCCCGATACTTTGTTGGGCTCGAATGAACGTGAGTTCTTTTACGATGAGGACTGTAAAGAATATTTCTTTGATCGAGATCCGGATATATTTCGTCATATATTGAATTATTATCGCACGGGTAAACTGCATTATCCGAAACATGAATGTCTCACCAGTTATGATGAGGAATTGGCCTTTTTTGGCATTATGCCGGATGTTATAGGCGATTGTTGTTATGAGGATTATCGTGATCGTAAGCGTGAAAATGCCGAGAGACTTATGGATGATAAATTGTCTGAGAATGGTGATCAAAATTTGCAGCAATTAACAAATATACGCCAGAAAATGTGGCGGGCCTTTGAGAATCCGCACACCTCTACAGCAGCCTTGGTATTCTACTATGTGACGGGCTTCTTCATTGCCGTCTCGGTGATGGCCAATGTGGTGGAGACGGTGCCTTGTGGACATCGACCCGGACGTGCTGGTACACTGCCCTGTGGCGAACGCTACAAAATTGTTTTCTTCTGCTTGGATACCGCCTGCGTTATGATCTTTACCGCCGAATATCTGCTGCGTTTGTTTGCGGCACCCGATCGCTGCAAATTTGTGCGCAGTGTCATGAGTATCATCGATGTGGTGGCCATTCTGCCCTACTATATAGGTCTGGGCATAACAGACAACGACGATGTGAGCGGAGCGTTTGTAACGTTGCGCGTCTTCCGCGTATTTCGTATCTTTAAGTTTTCACGTCACTCGCAGGGTCTCAGAATTTTGGGTTACACTCTCAAATCGTGTGCTTCCGAATTGGGTTTTCTGGTATTCTCACTGGCCATGGCCATCATTATATTTGCTACCGTCATGTTCTATGCTGAGAAAAATGTCAATGGTACCAATTTCACATCAATACCAGCGGCCTTTTGGTATACAATTGTCACTATGACCACACTGGGGTAAGTATTTGCGTAGCCAGCTGCGTAAGATGTCACACACTCACACATACACACCGAGAAAGTGTTACCGTGTTAGAGCTCCCTCTCTCACGCTCTGTTATTCCTCGTATAACCACTTAATTTGCTCTTTTAGTTATGGTGATATGGTACCGGAGACTATAGCTGGCAAAATAGTTGGTGGTGTTTGTTCATTGAGTGGTGTCCTTGTGATCGCCTTACCCGTACCTGTTATTGTATCTAACTTTAGTAGAATTTATCATCAAAATCAACGAGCTGATAAACGAAAAGCACAAAGAGTAAGTGGTTACTTTGGTTTTGGTTTTCGTTACCAAATCCCCAGAAAAATGTCTCTATATAAAAACAGTAACTTGAAAACTATAAAAATTTTTTGGATCTAAAAAAAACAAACAATCCGCTTAGCAAATTGCTAGTATCTTCTTTTTTTTAATTTTTCCTATAAGTGGATGCTGGTTAAAAGATGTGTCAGTTTATTATTAAGTTATATTATTTTTTAATTACTACCTATATAATTTGCTTTAATAAAATATGCACCAATTTTTGCTGCTATTTGTTTTATGAAACAAATATATTAATTTTTTATTGAGCACGCTTTAAAGCCAAAAAGCCTTTTTCCTACTAACTGTATAATACCTAAAATTTTATTTAATTTTTGTCTCCAAATAATGCTCGCTTGAAGGCTAGATTTAAGCTGCTATTTAAGCAAATATTTACTTAACAAAATGCTATTAACTGTCTATAAATATACTTGCTATATGTATCAGTCTAACTTTTACTTTAAGCTCTAAACTTTAATGACAAATCACTGCTTATTTTTGCTGTTACCTTTCAACTGCTTCCTATCTGCTTATTTTACTTAATACTTATTAAGAGAATTGTATAAATTTCCCTCTCTGCTAGTTTTCAATAAAACTAATAATTGAGTGAGAACTAGAACTTAACTAGAACAGAACTAGAAAAGAACTAGAAAAGAACTAGAACAGAACTAGAACAGAACTAGAACAGAACTAGAACAGAACTAGAACAGAACTAGAACAGAACTAGAACAGAACTAGAACAGAACTAGAACAGAACTAGAACAGAACTAGAACAGAACTAGAACAGAACTAGAACAGAACTAGAACAGAACTAGAACAGAACTAGAACAGAACTAGAACAGAACTAGAACAGAACTAGAACAGAACTAGAACAGAACTAGAACAGAACTAGAACAGAACTAGAACAGAACTAGAACAGAACTAGAACAGAACTAGAACAGAACTAGGACAGAACTAGAACAGAACTAGAATTGAACTAGAACATAACTAGAACAGAATTAGATCTGAACTAGAACAGAACTAGAACATACCTAGAACTGAACTAGAACTGAACTAGAACTGAACTAGAACTGAACTAGAACTGAACTAGAACTGAACTAGAACTGAACTAGAACTGAATTAGAACTGAACTAGAACTGAACTATAACTGAACTATAACTGAACTATAACTGAACTATAACTGAACTATAACTGAACTATAACTGAACTATAACTGAACCAGAACTGAACTAGAACTGAACTAGAACTGAACTAGAACTGAACTAGAACTGAACTAGAACTGAACTAGAACTGAACTAGAACTGAACTAGAACTGAACTAGAACTGAACTAGAACTGAACTAGAACTGAACTAGAACTGAACTAGAACTAACTAGAACTGAACTAGAACTGAATTAGAACTGAACTAGAACTGAACTAGAACTGAACTAGAACTGAACTAGAACTGAACTAGAACTGAACTAGAACTGAACTAGAACTGAACTAGAACTGAACTAGAACTGAACTAGAACTGAACTAGAACTGAACTGAACTGAACTAGAACTGAACTAGAACTAACTAGAACTGAACTAGAACTGAATTAGAACTGAACTAGAACTGAACTAGAACTGAACTAGAACTGAACTAGAACTGAACTAGAACTGAACTAGAACTGAACTAGAACTGAACTAGAACTGAACTAGAACTGAACTAGAACTGAACTAGAACTGAACTAGAACTGAACTAGAACTGAACTAGAACAGAACTAGAACAGAACTAGAACAGAACTAGAACAGAACTAGAACAGAACTAGAACAGAACTAGAACAGTACTAGAAAAGAACTAGAACAGAACTAGAACAGAACTAGAACAGAACTAGAACAGGACTAGAACAGAACTAGAACAAAAATAAAACAGAATTAGAACTTAACTAGAACAGAACTAGAACAAAACAGAACTAGAGCAGAACTAGAACAGAACTAGAACAGAACTAGAACAGAACTAGAACAGAACTAGAACTGAACTAGAACTGAACTAGAACTGAACTAGAACTGAACTAGAACTGAACTAGAACTGAACTAGAACTGAACTAGAACTGAACTAGAACTGAGCTAGAACTGAACTAGAACTGAACTAGAACTGAACTAGAACTGAACTAGAACTGAACTAGAACTGAACTAGAACTGAACTAGAACTGAACTAGAACTGAACTAGAACTGAACTAGAACTGAACCAGAACTGAACTAGAACTCAACTAAAACTGAACTAGAAGATCGGTTTTAAGATTTCCTTTACTTTAGTTTTTATTGTTTTGATTCTGAACCTCATATATCGTGTGCCAGATCGAGGTGTTAAAATGGAGCATATTTTGGATCCTAGTGAATCAGTTTAAACTGTATATTTCGAAAGGTTACCTGTTTTCAAGCGAATTCCTCCTTTAAAAATAGTTTTAAAGAAAATTTTTTTTATATGAATATATTCAGTAGTTTTGAAATAGTAAACAGTTTTTTAAACTCTTTTAATAGTATATTTAAAAAATTTTTTATAGAAAAACTTATGTCGCTTGTATTTCTTTAACCCCTATAATTTTCTACTAACCCCTTTCCTTTTTAATAACTTTATAAGCCTTTGTAACAGCAAGTTAAACCCCTATTTTTCTGTTTTCCACTAACAACTAACATTCTATATTTTCTACTAATATTTGACACATTTTTTAAAAAGTTAAGTAATTTAGTCAATTTGTTTTTGTTTACAAAATATAAGCTTTTTCTTCACTCTAAAGAAAAAGCATATATTTTGAGTAGAAACTACTATTTTTAGCTTAAACTTTTTTATGCTATATATATTTTTGTTAAAGACATTTTTCTACCTTTTCAAAACTATTATGTGGTTAGTTAAAGGAAAATAAAAGCTTTTTAGCAATTTTTAAAGAAAAGCTTTAAAGCTTTCCCTTACAGTGTAAATATTTTTTAAAAGTTTTCCCCAAACTAAACACATAATAGCCGCCGCTTGAGAGTATCTTTTGCAAGCGGTTCAAGCAGTTACAAAATTTTCCATCAAAATACTTTTTTTTAACCACTAAAACACTCTTTGTGCAGATTGGTTAGCTTTTGAGAGGGTTCTTTAATAGACAAAGTAAGGACGCATACTTTAACTATTTCCGAACCCTGCATTGCTATTACCAATCTAAAAAACAACAAATTTTTACATTTGTTGAGTGGTGTTATTGCTAATTGATTTTTTTTATAAATCAGAGTCGAATATTCACTAAGTGAAAATTTTACTCTTAGCTATATGGTCTAGTGGATGTTTTCTTTTAAAATTTCTTAGCCAAATTTGGAAAACCTAACCGGTTTTCTGGAAAATTTGTGTGTTATTTTTAAAGAGATTTTAGGAAAATATCTAACTAACCTTAGGAACTAAACTATATTAATTAATAAAAAAAAACTATCTTTTAAGTTCTTAAATTTTCAGCAAATATATAATATCACCAAATGATCAAATGTATTTTTGCATGTTTGAAAAACTTTAACTATAATTATAGCTTTCATTTTTAGCCTTAATTTATATATTACTAAATAAGAACAATAAAACTCAAATTTCTAAATATTTGCATGTTTACGGATATAATTTTATGATGAACAGAAGTAGAACAGAACTAGAACAGAACTAAAACAAAACTAGAACAGAACTAGAACGGAACTAGAACAGAAGTAGAACAGAACTAGAACAGAAAAAGAACAGAACTAGAACAGAACTAGAACAGAACTAGAACAGAACTAGAACAGAACTAGAACAGAACTAGAACAGAACTAGAACAGAACTAGAACAGAACTAGAACAGAACTAGAACAGAACTAGAACAGAACTAGAACAGAACTAGAACAGAACTAGAACAGAACTAGAACAGAACTAGAACAGAACAGAACTAGAACAGAACTAGAACAGAACTAGAACAGAACTAGAACAGAACTAGAACAGAACTAGAACAGAACTAGAACAGAACTAGAACAGAACTAGAACAGAACTAGAACAGAACTAGAACAGAACTAGAACAGAACTAGAACAGAACTAGAACAGAACTAGAACAGAACTAGAACAGAACTAGAACAGAACTAGAACAGAACTAGAACAGAACTAGAACAGAACTAGAACAGAACTAGAACAGAACTAGAACAGAACTAGAACAGAACTAGAACAGAACTAGAACAGAACTAGAACAGAACTAGAACAGAACTAGAACAGAACTAGAACAGAACTAGAACAGAACTAGAACAGAACTAGAACAGAACTAGAACAGAACTAGAACAGAACTAGAACAGAACTAGAACAGAACTAGAACAGAACTAGAACAGAACTAGAACAGAACTAGAACAGAACTAGAACAGAACTAGAACAGAACTAGAACTAGAACAGAACAGAACGAAACTAGAATAGAACAGAACGAAACTAGAATAGAACAGAACGAAACTAGAACAGAACAGAACGAAACTAGAACAGAACTAGAACAGAACAGAACTAGAACAGAACTAGAACAGAACTAGAACAGAACTAGAACAGAACTAGAACAGAACTAGAACAGAACTAGAACAGAACTAGAACAGAACTAGAACAGAACTAGAACAGAACTAGAACAGAACTAGAACAGAACTAGAACAGAACTAGAACAGAACTAGAACAGAACTAGAACGGAACTAGAACAGAACTAGAACAGAACTATAACAGAACTAGAACAGAACCAGAACAGAACTAGAACAGAACTAGAACAGAACCAGAACAGAACTAGAACAGAACTAGAACAGAACAGAACAGAACGAAACTAGAATAGAACAGAACGAGACTAGAACAGAACAGAACGAAACTAGAACAGAACTAGAACAGAACAGAACTAGAACAGAACTAGAACAGAACTAGAACAGAACTAGAACAGAACTAGAACAGAACTAGAACAGAACTAGAACAGAACTAGAACGGAGTTCGAACAGAACTGGAATAGAACTTCCATTAAAACTTAACTAAACTAATCTTGAACTGAACTAGATTTGATCTAAAACTGAACTTGACTTTAACTAGTTAATGAGCGAATTAATGCAGTTTTTATCGTTTTATTGTTAATTTAGTTTTTATTCTAAATTCAAGTCTATAGACGTAAAATTTATTTTTACTCTTAATAGTTAATTTGATGAAATGACAAAAATTTATAAGAGAATCTTTTTTAATTGTGTATTATTTTTGTTAACTAAATATTTATTAAAAAGATGGGACTATAGTCAAAATGGCAACAAGTTATTAAGTTTATTTGACTATAGTTATTCAAAAGCTTTCTTAGTTATAGCTATTATAAGCTAAATATTTAAAAGCATGTTAGTTTAAGTGTTTTTTTAATTGAAAATTTTGATAGTTAGAGAGGCTTTGTAAGCTAAAACTGAATTGGCAAATGCTATAGTAAGGTTTCATATTAATAGTACGACTAATATAGGAAGTGATAAATATATTTGTTTTTCTTTTTCATTTTATGGGTTCTCTTACAGAAAGCCCGCTTGGCACGCATACGCATTGCTAAAGCGTCTTCGGGTGCTGCCTTTGTTAATAAAAAGAAGGCTGCCGAGGCGCGTTGGGCAGCCCAAGAGTCAGGAATTGAATTGGACGAGAATATACGCGATGAGGACATTTTCGAGTTACAGCATCATCATTTGCTAAGATGTTTAGAAAAAACAACGGTAAGTTTTTGTAACTCTTAACTATTTGCAGAGACTATTTAAACTACAACAAACACTTTGTTTTAAACATTTTTATTTAAAATTTAAATTTTTTAAATTAAATTTTGTTGATTTTTTCTTTAATATACTTTTTTTCTTATTTTTTATATTTTTTCTTTATTTTTCGTATACTTTTTCCCCGGGGGCAACAAACAGATGTAGCAACCATTTGTTATAATTACAAAAAGCAATGACAACATATGTATTTTTTATAAAATTTAAATTTTAAAGAAAAAACCTCTACAATTTAAAACACAAGATAGTAAAATGAACTAAAACTAAATTTTTTAACAAAAAGTTTATAATTAAATCACGTTTTTAAACTAAATCAGTTTTGTTGACCGTTAGAAGCCCAGCAATTCTACCATATTAGTAAAACTATGGCCAAAAGTGCGTAAATAATTTTTAAAATTTGTTTTCTATAAATTCTTTGTAATTTTTGTGTGTAATTTATTTTTACAAAAAAAGAAGAAAAATATTTAATATTATTGTTATTTATTGTTTTATTTCTCTTCTAAAACTTGTATTTAGTTTTTAAGTTTGTTAATCTTAACTCTGACTTAATAATAGTGAAAAAAACAACTAAAATATTGTAAAAAATTTATATATAATTTTACTAATTTTTAATTTTAAAAAATTTATTTTAATTGTAAAGAAATTCTTTTTTTATATATATATAATTATTTAAAATAAATATTTTTATTTTGTAAAAACAAAAAATTTATACGAAATTTTATTGTTTACTATAAAAATTTTTCAAAAAACTAAATTTTAAAAACTTTATTTGATAATAATGTTAAAGAAATTTTTCAAAAAGTCCAATCCGACTCTAATTTTATGTTAATAAGTGGATAGTCATTCGAAAACCGTGACTATAGTCGTAGAAATATGCTTAACTAAAAAATAGCAATGCTAATATAGCAAAACAAATTTCGAATAACTTCAATCCAACTAAATATTTTTGATGTTAAAGAAATAGTCATTCGAAAACCGTGACTATAGTCGTTAAAATGTACTTGACTAACAAATAGCAGTGCTAATATAGCAAAAAAAAAATCGAATAATTTTAATTATATATTTTCGATGCTAAAGAAATAGTCATTCTATATCCGTGACTATAGTCGTTGAAATGTGCTTAACTAAAAAATAGCAGTGCTAATATAGCAAATAAATTTGAAATTAATTTCAATCTGAATACATATTTGTAATGCTTAGTGAATAGTCATTCGAAAACGCTGACTATAATCGTCAAAATGTGCTTAACTAAAAAATAGCTGTGCTAATATAGCAAAACTTTTTCGAATAATTTCTATCCAACTACATATTTTTGATGCTAAAGAAATAGTCATTCCAAATCCTTGGCTATAGTCGTAAAAATATACTTAACTAAAAAATAGCAGTGCTAATATAGCAATTAGTTTTCTTTAAATTCCACTATAACCACATATTATTTATTCTTAGCACATAAGTATTGCAAAACCGTGACTATAGTCGTTAAAATTAGCTTAGCTAATAATAGCAGTGACTAATATAGCAAACGGTTTTTGAAATTTTTCAATTTGACTATATATTTTTCATCCTTAGTAAATAGTCAATCGAAATCCGTGACTATAGTCGTTGAAATATGCTTAACTAAAAAATAGCAGTGCTAATATAGCAATTAGTTTTATTTTAATTCCACTATAACTACATATTATTTATTCTTAGCAACTAAGCATTGCGAAATCGTGACTATAGTCGCTAAAATCTGTTTAGCTAAAAATAGCAGTGACTAATATAGCAAACAGTTATCGAAAATTTTCGATATTTTTTGTTCTTAGTAAATAGTCATTCGAAATCCGTGACTATATTGGTTAAAGTAAGCTTAACTAAAAAATAGCAGTGCTAAAATATAGCAATTGGTTTTCTTTTAATTCCACTATAACTACATATTATTTATTCTTAGCACATAAGCATTACAAAACCATGACTATAGTCGTTAAAATGTGTTTTACTAAAAATAGCTATGACTAATATAGCAAACAGTTTTCGAAATTTTTCAATTTGACTATATATGTTTCATCCTTAGTAAATAGTCATTCGAAATCCGTGACTATATCGGTTGAAGTATGCTTAACTAAAAAATAGCAGTGCTAATATAGCAAACAGTTTTCGAAAATTTTCGATTTGACTATACATTTTGTATGCCCGGTAAATAGTCAATCGAAATCCTAGACTATAGTCGTTAAATTTAGCTTAGCTAATAATAGCAATGACTAATATAGCAAGTAGCTATTAAAAAATTTGACTATTACTACATTTTATTCATGCTTGGCACAAAAGTATTACCAAACCATGACTATAGTCGTTAAATTTAGCTTAGCTAAAAATAGCAATGACTAATATAGCATATAGTTTTACCTATTTTTGATCTAACTATAAAATATCAATACTGAGTTAAGAGTCTTTACAAAACCGTGGCTATAGTCGTTAAATTTAGCTCAGCTAAAAATAGCAATGACTAATATAGCAAGTAGCTATTAAAAAATTTGACTATTACTACATTTTATTCATGCTTAGCACAAAAGTATTACCAAACCATGACTATAGTCATTAAATTTAGCTTAACTAAAAATAGCAATAACTAATATAGCATATAGTTTTAGCAAATTTTTGATATAATTATATAATATTATAGCTGAGTTAATAGTCTTTACAAAATCGATACTATAGTCGTTAAATTTAGCTTAGCTAAAAACAGCAGTGGCTAATATAGCAATTATTTTTTGAAAAATTTGACTATAACTACATATTATTAATGCTTAGCACATAAGCATTACAAAACCATGACTATAGTCGTTAAATTTAGCTTAGCTAAAAATAGCAGTGGCTAAAATAGCAAAAAAAAATTAGGATTTGTACTATATTTTTTGTATAAATTTTAGCTTTTATTTTCTAATATTTTTATAAATTTTATTTAGAATTTATTAAATATTTTTGTTCTATAATTTCGTTTATGTTTAATTTTCTTAAATGTTCGCTCGTTCTCTACTCCTTTAGACTCCTCTCTCTCTCTCTCTCTCTAACTCTCTTTGTCTCTCTCATAACAATCATGAGCAAAATTCATATATTCAGAATACAAAACAAAAATCAATTTGTCAAACATTTGAATGACTAGAAAGCATCATTCATAGTGTTTGTTGCTATTATACTATTTTCTATTTGTTTCTGTGTGTGTGCGTGTTCATATGTATATGTGTGTGAATATATTTCTCCTGATTAATTACATGTTTAGAAAACTTTAATCAACAGCAAATAAACCATCTCCTCTATGCAAATTGGAAGTTTAAAATAAAAACTAAACACAAAGTTTCCGTAACCTGCCTTCAATAAAAAACTACAAACAAGAAAAACTAACTAACTGTTATTGATCATTTTTAGTTTGAAACCTTTTAAATTTAAAAAAAAAGAACTAAAACTTTGAAAAAAAACTGTCTCCAGTTGTTTGTAAATTATACTCATATATTAAAAATTTAAAAAAATAATCATTTAAAGTAATTAAATGTTGTTTTTGTTGTCAATTGCTTCTCAAAAAAACTGTAAAAAAAGAATTAACTAATTTTTCTTTTGCTTTTTGTATTTGTGTTCTTTTATAACAAACTGTAGCTATAAATAGTTGCTAAAAAATTTCTACTCTAACTTGATTTTATTACAATTTCATTTTGTTTTAAACAGGATCGTGAATTTGTTGAGCTAGAAATACCTTTTAATGGTCAACCTAAGCGTCCTCGTTCACCCTCACCGATGGCCAGTCCGGCTCATTCCACCAACAGTGCCATGGGTCTAGTGCAGTCATGCTGTGGCCGTTGCTGTTCTCAGCGTTATCAGGTAATTTGATTTTCGCCTAAAAACTATTTAAATTACTATTTAATATTTCTTATTATCCTAGGCCTGTGGGAAGTATATGCCCGCCACCAGCAATGCCCAAAATAATCAAAGCAATCAACCCATGGATGGCACCTATTTAGTGGAGGCCTCATTTTAAGTGTATGTGCGTGTGCGTATTTGTGTTTTTTAAAAAAAGCACTGAAATTTATACCCTTAAGAAAGAAAATTTAAACCAAAAACTACTTTATCTAGTTATGTAGTCATTAAACTAAAAAACAAACAGAATCTAGTAATTTAAAATAGGAAAAACTAGGCAAACAGCTAAGCACAGTTTTGTCAACAGCAAAGTCATATAAATTATAAAAAAATAGCCAAAAAATCTGTAAAAATGTGTGAGTAAAGCAAAAAATATGATTATAGTCGAAAAATCTTAACTGTGCTAGAAATAGCATAGCAAATATTGAAAAAATGTTGACTATATTACTATTGTTTTTATAATTAAGAAACTGGCTTTCCAAAAATATGACTATAGTCGAAGAATATTAGCTCAGCTAAAAATAGCAATAGCATGTTTTTTAACATTCACAAAAATGTTGACTATATTAGCATAGTTTTTATGTGTACAAAATTTCCATTTCAAAACTATGACTATAGTCAAAAAATATTAACTGTGCTATAAATAGCAATGGCATATTTTTTAAAACTTACAAAAATGTTGACTATATTAGCATAGTTTTTATGCGTACAAAATTTCTATTTCAAAAATATGACTGTAGCCAAAAAACATTAGCTGTGCTAGAAATAGCCAAGCAAATGTTAGAAAAAAATTAAAAAAATATTGACTATATTGACATAATTTGTATGCTTAAGTAACAGGCTTTCCAAAAATATGACTATAGTCGAATGATATTAACTCGGCTAAAAATAGCCATGGCATATTTTTTAAAATTCACAAAAATGTTGACTATATTAGCATAATTTTTATGTGTACAAAATTTCCATTTCAAAAATATGACTATAGTCAAAAAATATTAGCTGAGCTAGAAATAGCCAAGCAAATGTTAGGAAAAAGGTTAAACAAATAATGACTATATTGGTATAATTTGTATGCTTATGAAACAGTCTTTCCAAAAATATGACTATAGTCAAAAAATATTAGCTGTGCTAGAAATAGCCAAGCAATTGTTAGCAAAAAAATAATAAAATATTGATTATATTGGTATAGATTTTTTCTTAAAAAACAAGCTTTCCAAAAATATGACTATAGTCGCAAAATATTAACTAGGCTAAAAATAGCCATTGCATATTTTTTACAACTTACAAAAATGTTGACTATATTAGCTTATTTTGATTACCTAAAAAATTTTAATTTCAAAAATATTCAGCTTAACTAAAAATAGCATAGCAAATGTTTGAAAATCGTTTTAAAAATGTTAACTATATGGGTATAACTTTTATACTTAAGAAATAGTCTTTCCAAAAATATGACTATAGTCGAGAAAAATTAGCTGTGCTAGAAATAGCTATAGCAAATATTGCAAAAAGGCTAGAAATATGATGACTATATTAGCATCTTTTGAATACCTAAATAATTTTGTTTGCAAAAATATGACTATAGTCAAAACTTATTAACTTAACTAAAAATAGCATAGCAAATGTTTGAAAATAGTTTTAAAAATGTTAACTATATGGGTATAACTTTTATACTTAAGAAATAGTCTTTCCAAAAATATGACTATAGTCGAGAAAAATTAGCTGTGCTAGAAATAGCTATAGCAAATATTGCAAAGAGGCTATAAATATGATGACTATATTAGCATATATTGAATACCTAAATAATTTTGTTTGCAAAAATATGACTATAGTCAAAACATATTAACTTAACTAAAAATAGCATAGCAAATGTTTGAAAATAGTTTTAGAAATGTTGACTATATTGGTATAACTATTATGCTTAAGAAATAGTCTTTCCAAAAATAAGACTATAGTAGAAAAATATTAGCTGTGTTAGAAATAGCTATAGCAAATATTGCAAAAAAGCTTTAAAAACTTTGACTATATTAGCATATTTTGAATACTTACACAATTTTAATTTGAAAAATACGACTAAAGTCAAAAAATCTCAAAGTGCTATAAATAGCTATAGCAATTTTTTTAGAAAAAATGTAAAAACTTTGACTATATTGGTATACATTTCATCCTCATGAAATTGTTTTTTTAAAATTAAGACTATATTCGATAAATATAAGCTGTGCTAAAAATAGCAATAGCAAATATTGTGTTTAAGCTATAGAACATTGACTATATTAGCATATATTTAATACTTAATGAATTCTGTTAACAAAAACATGACTATAGTCGCTAATAGATCTTAGTGCTAAAAATAGCATTAACAAAAATATTGACTATATTAGCGAAGTTCATATTGTTGAATAATATTAATTAGGAAAACATGACTATAGTCGCTAGATTCTTTAAAACTTTTGAGAAAATTGCTAAATTTAATAAAACTGACAGTTTTTAGAGATTTTTTTAAACTCTGTCTTTATGACTTTGTTTTTGTGCATAAGAACTGTGTTGCTGTTTTGCTACTACTCATTTTATTTATAATTTTAGACTATTTTAGTTAAAATATTTTCTTTAAAACAACACAAGTTAAACTATTGGTAATTGATAAAAAAATAATAACAACAAACTAAATTTAGATAAACAACAAAAACAGTAAGAAATTTTTAGGATGAAGGACTAAAGCAAAAATAAGATTTTTATCTCTTTTATATAGAGAAATGTTAGCAGAACGTAAGCTTATGTTATGCTGCTGACTTTGTAATGTAAGAGACATCATGTTTGTTATGCTTTTTGCATTGGCATGTAAAGGGAAATTTTCTTTGAAGCCTTGAAATTTCTTGCTGTTAACCATAATTTTATTAAAACGAAAACAAAATGAAAATATTATTAAACAAAAACAATTCTTAGAAACCAGTGAACAAATAAACTATAGGAAAAAATTATTAAAAAAAATAAGATTTAAAACAAATAATAAGAAAAACTGTTTCAAATTTTAGTAAAAAAGAAACAATTAAAACACTAAGGAAAGACTAAACTTAAAAGTTTTTAAAGAAAAACAACAACAACAACATTCTTCTTACAAAAAGCTTTCCATTATGAGAGCTTAAAATGTGCTTAAGTTTAAACTTGCCAAACAAGTCAAAACTTTTGTTTTAACAAAGCAATTTTTAAGAAATTTAACTTAAGTGTTACTAATGACCTAAAGAAACTAAATATGTCAAAGGAAGGTAGGGTGCCTAAACAAATTCTCCTGAGAAAAGGGAGTTTTTCCAAAAATTCTCTTTCAAAACTGTTTTTAAAGGTTAACTTGCAAAATTTGTTATAATTTTTGTAAATTTGAACCGATTTGAAAGATATTTCTCACAGTGTATCCTAAGACTTGAGCAATATAAAAACTGTTAAACAAATGTAGGGTGTCTAAGCAAGATCTCTCTATAACAACAGTTTTTACAAAATGTTTTTTAAAAACCATCAAAAGTTTTCTTAAAGTTTATCCAGGAAACTGTGTTCTAACTTTTGTAAATATTAACCGATTTTAAAGAAATTTAACACAGGTACAAGACTATGCGGAAATTAAATATTGTGGAAAAATGTAGGGTACTTAGGCAATTTTTCTTATAAAAAGACCATTATGTTAGTGTTTAAAGTTCTTCAAATGTTTCTCAAGGTAGCATTAGAAAACTTCCTATAACTTTTTTATATATCAACCGATATCTGAAATATTTGATATCTATATAGAAAACACTTTAAGAATTTAAAATATGGTTGTAGGGTGTTCAAACAAATTTGTTCAAAAATTACATTTGTTTCCAAATAATCAAATTACAGTTCATTAAAAGTTGTTTTGGTATAAAGCCTATAACTCTAAGATATATAAACCGATTTGGAAAATATTTTGCCTAGCTGTAGCCAAGACTAGGAAAAACTAAAATATTGCAAGAAAATGTAGGATACTTGAACAATTTTTCTGACAAAATGTGCTTTTGCTTAATATAAGTATTCAAATTAATTTGGAAATTGCTTAGAGAACACTTGTAAAACTTCCTATAACTTTGATATATATCAACCGATATCTGAAATATTTGATATCTTTATAGAAAACAATTTAAGAATTTAAAATAAGGTATTATATTGTAGGGTATTTGAACGAATTTGTTCACAAATTTCATTTGTTTCCAAATAACCAAATTAAAGTTCGTCAAAAGTTGTTTTGTTTAATAGTCTATAAATCTGAGATATAGAAACCGAAATGGCAAATATTTTGCCTTGCTGTAGCCAAGACTAGGAGAAATTAAAATATTGCCAGAAAAAGTAGGGTACTAGAACATTATGTCTGACAAAATGTGCTTTTGCTTAATATAAGTATTAAAATTAAGTTGGAAATTGCTTAGAAAACACTTGTAAAACTTCCTATAACTTTGATATATATCCACCGATATGTGAAATATTTGGTACTTGTATAGAAAACACTTTAAGAATTTAATATAAGGTACTATATTGTAGGGTATTTGAACGAATTTGTTCACAAATTTCATTTGTTTCCAAATAACCAAATTAAAGTTTGTCAAAAGTTGTTTTGTTATAAAGTCTATAACTCTAAGATATATAAACCGATATGGTAAATATTTTGCCTAGCTGTAGCCAAGACTATGAGAAACTAAAATATTGCAAGAAAATGTAGGGTACTAAAGCAACTTGTCTGACAAAATGTGCTTTTGCTTAATATAAGTATTAAAATTAAGTTGGAAATTGCTTAGAAAACACTTGTAAAACTTCCTATAACTTTGATATATATCCACCGATATGTGAAATATTTGGTACTTGTATAGAAAACACTTTAAGAATTTAATATAAGGTACTATATTGTAGGGTATTTGAACGAATTTGTTCACAAATTTCACTTGTTTCCAAAAAAAATAGTTTTCAAGTTCGTTAAAAGTTGTTTTGTTATATAGTCTATAACTTTAAAATATATGAACCGATATGTTAAATATTTTGTTTAACTGTAGCTTAGACTATAAAAAAGGTAGGGTACTTGAGCAACTTTTGTGACGAAAAGAGAATTTTCTTAAAATAGGGTACTAAAGCAACTTGTCTGACAAAATGTGCTTTTGCTTAATATAAGTATTAAAATTAAGTTGGAAATTGCTTAGAAAACACTTGTAAAACTTCCTATAACTTTGATATATATCCACCGATATGTGAAATATTTGGTACTTGTATAGAAAACACTTTAAGAATTTAATATAAGGTACTATATTGTAGGGTATTTGAACGAATTTGTTCACAAATTTCACTTGTTTCCAAAAAAAATAGTTTTCAAGTTCGTTAAAAGTTGTTTTGTTATATAGTCTATAACTTTAAAATATATGAACCGATATGTTAAATATTTTGTTTAACTGTAGCTTAGACTATAAAAAAGGTAGGGTACTTGAGCAACTTTTGTGACGAAAAGAGAATTTTCTTAAAATAGGCAAAGCAAACTCCTAAAGATACTAGAAGTTTGGGAAACTTGTTATAACTCGGTTATATATCAACCGATTTCTAAGATATTAAGCACTTGTATAGGGAATGCTTTACAGATGTTGAATATAACAACATTTCTTAGGGTGTTCGAACAAAATTTTTCAGAAAATTTAGTTTGAATCTTAAATCATTTTGACATATTTTTACAAGTTATTTTAAAAAAGAATCCATAACTTTAATGTATAATAAACGATTTAACAGATATTTAGCACAATTATGCCCAAGACTTTGAGAAACTCAAATATTGCAAAAAAGTGTAGGGTACTTAAGCAATTTTCTTTAACTAAGTGAGTTTAATTCGTAAAAACTTTATCAAATCGATTTAAACATGAATTGAGTTTATTAAAGAAAACTTCATATAACTTTTCTATATCTCAACCGATTTATACCA